ATAAAATAGGCCATCGAATATTCTAAAGAACATGTGGATTTGAAATTTTATAAGTTTTAGTGAAAGAAAAGTTGGGTCAGGTTTGATTCTAATAAAAAAATGTGTGTAGCTCTTATCTCTTCAAGAAAAATGGAAGCTTTATTTATTTTATGTTTTCACATGTTGTAAAAACAAATCAGCTACATCAAAAAAAAAAAAGTTATTTATTTATTTATTTTTAATATTACTTGTTGACTTTATCTGTAAATTACAGTGAATCCTCAGCTTTATCCTTAGATTCTATCAAGACCAAATATTTTCGAAGACGTAATGTGAAACATGGCTGACAAGGTGAAATTATGCATGTCCAAGAAAACTAAAATTTCTCATACACGCAAGGGGCAAATGTAAGAGGAGCTAATCTGAGCCAATTAAATTAATTAGGCCCCAATAGTCCAAGGTTGGTGGGCCCGAATTTATCGCAAGTCCAAGATTGGTGGGCCTGGATTTATCGCCATCAAACGGGCTGAATCGCTCTAAGCCTCGAAAGGGTTCAGATCCATGAACTTAGAGACTTACTCGGGCCCGGACTCGAAAGGGTATTGAGCAAACCTAGAGATCCGAGGCACTCGGACTCGAAAGGGTTCGGATTCACGAACCTAGAGGTCCGGAGCACTTGGCTTCGAACGGAATCAGATGCAATCTAGAAGCCGCTCCATTAATGAGTCCCAGAACACTTGCGGACTCGGAGCTTTCTGGGATCTACGTACCAGAACCATGGGCATAATGGAGTTCGAACAAAGGACCCGATCCCGAGGACGATGAGTTGAGATAAATTCACTCTTCGGTTAAACTAGCCTATACTTGGGTCGAGGTGGCACGATCTATGGGGTCCTTGAGACTCGGCAATATTTACGGCAGGGCGTTCTCTTGAACTACCCCTGACCCTTATGTGGCAGGACGTCCTCTGGGACTACCCCTGACCCTTTGGGATGATTGAGAATCATTGGTTAGGTGTGGCTAAGAAGAAGGGTTCGCCGAGAGGTTGATTTCCTCTTCGGGGTTTTCCTCATCCTCGAAGAGGTCACCTCCTCGGACAAGGTAGTTAGAGAGAATATTTCCCATGTGCCTTGCACATGGGTTCCATCCTACATCATGAGGTGCCTATAAATAACACCCACCCATAGCTCTACAAGTGATGGATTTTGGAGAGATGACTCTTGGGAAAAAAACTAATTTCCCATCTCCATTATCAACCTTGAGAGTGAAAGTGGGAGATCCATAGGAGAGCCTTGCCATTATTCTCTCTCTAGCTATTTTGCCTTCTTCTTCACCCAATCTCTTATCTCCATCATCTCATTTACTCTTGTGTTCTTAAGTTGAGACTATTGAAGAATCTAAGCCTCTCATCATCTTCTAGAGAATTCGAAGTTGCTCTTCAAGGATCTTCGAAGATCTTCGAATTTTCCAATGACCTTCTTGAACCCTCTCCTACAAAGGTAAAGGACAAAATATTTGTATCAAAAGAGTTAGGGTTAGGAATTAGATAGGGAGAGAGTGGGCACTTTTAATTTTGAATGGACCTTTTAATTTTTCAATGGGTTAATTTATTTTAAATTAGTTTGAGCCTTCTTTAATTTTGTTTAGACTTAAAACATACCTAATGTATTACACTAAACTATAATAGGAGGGGGTCCCTTTTTTGGGTGTATTTTGAAAGGCCCTAAGCCATGGCCTGGTGGGCCTATGCCTAGGGCTGGACCTGGTTGTGTGTTGCGGGTTGGACGCAGTATCTCGAGTTTTTTTTTTATTCAAAGTATTTGTTCATATTATTATGATATTTTTAATAATAATATTGTTTCGTAGTTGTGGCTCAACAAATTAATTCATTCAGGAATTAATTAAAGTTGTTTTTGGGACATATAGTTTTTTCGCAATTCATACCTAAAACTTAAGATAATTAAAGGGACACGTGCAAGAGAAAGTGATGTTAAAACAAGAAAATGAGTTAAATAACACGGAACTTTTTGCGACGGCAATGATCCCGTCGCAAAAAATGATCTTTTGTGATGGCATTTTCAATCGTCGCCAATAAATACCTTTTGTAACAGCAGTGACCCGTTGCGAATAAACATACAAGAAAAGGTGTGTTTAAAAGCGAAGGTATTTGCGACACCTTGCGTCCCGTCACAAAACCAACCTTTTTGAGACAGAAAAAATTTACTGTTGCAAATAGAGGACAAATTGTGATTGCAATTGTCCATCACAAAAAAAACTCTTATTAACACGACGTCATTTTATTCGTTAAATTTATTATTTGTGATGGTTGAAATATGCCGTTGCAAAACGTAATGAAATTTTTTTATATCCTGCTCTTTAGACCATTCGTGTTCATTTTCCCCAAAATCCCTATTTGAGCTCGTTTTCCCCCAAAATCCCTAAAACTTTTGAAGCAAAAATCCCAAGTGAGCAGCGACGGTGGAATTTTGCTACCTTTAAGGCGTATTTGTCACGACCCAAACCCGCCCCTGTAGGTTTAGCACCGTAACCGGCCAGTAATCTGTGGATTACCAAAGGCCTCTGAACAGATTAGCAAATAATAAGGGGCTACGGAAGCAATAATATAAAATAGACAAGGTCCAATGAGCTGCGATAACGTACATGGGACAGAACGTTTCAAAACTTATATATATATATACTTAAACATGCCAGTCAAGATACACAATATTTACAAGGTATTTACAGAATGTACTTCCCAAGACTTGACTTTACAGAGCATACACAAAGACTAGCATGTATACAAAAAAAGCCATGGCATTAGGCTTCGTTCGGAATCTCCTCAGGAGACACAACAGTTGGCTGACAAAAACAGAATAGAAGGCCGTCAACTCTGGCCCTGGTCATGTGCCGGCTCACCTACATACATAATATAAACTGTGAGCGAAAGCCCAGCGAATAATAATAGAGTAAAGGGTTTCAATGAATGAGTTCGTACAGATTTAGAAATCATAATTCAGATTTATATCAAATTCATCATTTGTCCAGATCATATACAAACAGAAACCATAAGTTGTGATTAAGTTTACGTGATACATCCATTAGCATTAACAGAACAGAACAGAATAGAACGTATACACGTGTGGTTACGAATAACCAGTTCCATAAAGAAACCTCCGGATCCGGGTAACAAAACAAAAGCTGAGCCCCCGTGACAGGGCTTCTGGTACGGGTAACAAAGTGCAGACAGAAATAAGTTCCATAAAGGAACCTCCGATACCGGGTAACAGCTAACAGATATCACATGATGCTAAGGATGTCACGAATACATATCAGAAATTGAACAATCATTCATTGTATAGAACATATCATTTCGGAAAACAGATCTTGTTTTGTCACACAGAAGGTAGATACAGTTTGAGCATAACTTTACTAAGTTATTACTCACAGTTGGCCTTGAAACAGACAGACGGAGCAGATTGATCACACGATATGCGGCACGTGACCTACATAACACATAACGAACACACACTTGAAACACACATTCTAATTGCACAAAACTTACGTCGTTGGTTCTTAGTATGTTTCTAACCTTAAATCCTCATTAAAGGGCCTTAAACATGGCATAGGAATGCCTATGATGGAATGAGGATGCAAACATGCCTTGAAAACCATTTCCTAAATTTGGCTGAAGATAAGGTCCACGCTCGAGCGTGGATTACCCTGCTCGAGCGGACATGCAGATGTTGAAGCTCTGCTCGAGCGTGAACTTCCTTGCTCGAGCGGACTGTAAAATCGACAAAAGTACTGGATGTAGGATTTTCACGCTCGACGGGCCCTCGACCCTCGCTCGAACGTGAGACTCAGAGTCTCACTCGAGCGTGGTTTTCTTCCGCTTGAGTGGACTGCAAAACACACAAACTTCTGGGTATACGCATTTCACGCTCGAGCGTAACTATAGACGCTCGAGCGGAAGTGCATGTACTCAGGATTCAAGCTCGAGCGTGAAAGTACCCGCTCGAGTGTGGGTCAAATTTCTAGAAAATCCAGATTGACCTCCAAGAATGAAACTCAACCTTTAAGCCTTCAAAACTCGTTTTTCTGAGCCAATATTTGAGAAAACATAAAATAACTCATAAAACAACATGTATTAAAAAATCATTTCAAGAAATCATGACCCAAGAGCAACCCAATTTGTGCAAAATCAACATGAACTCTTAGAACATGCCATTAATACAACATGCAAGAATCTCATTGAATCCAAACTCTCCAAAACATGATCAAACTTGATAATTTGATGGACAACAAGATGAATGACCATAATGTGAGTGAAAATAACACATGCATGGAAGAAATATTAGAATTCAAACTCAAAGTATGAAAATTTATGCATGCATGCATGGATGGACTCTCAAAACCACATTTAGAGCTAAATCTTGACTTTAAATACCAATTTCACCATGAACTAGCAAGAACAACTTACATTCATAATTAAAAGGATGAATTCTCTACTTTTAGGTTCTCAATTCCAAGCATAGAAGCTCAAATATGCAAACTCCTCTTCAATTCTTCTAATTCTCCAAGGAATTTTGATGAAACCAAAATTTCTCTTATCTCTAGCTCTCTCCCACGGTTTGGTCAAGAAATGGATGATAGAATGATGCACAATAAGTTCCAAACAAGGCTCTTAGAAGTGGCCCACTAAGTGGCAATTAGGTAATTAACTTAAACTAATGTAATTTAGTATTACATAATCTAATTTAATCATACCAATCAAATTTTAATTAAACCTACCATAAAATCATATACATTTTTACTAGCATAAAATACTATTCAATTTTTGAATTGGCCGCCGATAAGGCTTTCAATTCGCAGTTAAAGTTAAAGGCATGAACAAGTCATTTTATTACAAATAGATCGAAACACAAAAATAATACAATACATATGTAATTTAATTTTGAATTCCTTCTAAATTACTGTTAAGCATAAATAATCATCGTTTAGCATTAATCGGAGGTCGGGTTATTATATTATAGTATTGATTGCGACGAAGGTGGAATTTTGCTCCGAGCAGCTAGTAGCGACGACAGCGAGCGGCGACGGCGACGACGGCTAGCAGCAGTTAGTCTCAATCGCACCTCTCTCACTCACTCAGCGAGTGACGACGCCTGTATGCTCTCTCTCTCTCTCATTCTTTTCCATTGCATCAATCGTCGTCTCCTTTTCCATTTTCCTTCCAATTCTTCGCAAACAAGGTGTCATTATCGCCATTGTTCCTCCACATTTGCAGAGAGACAATGGAAACAGATGAAGCTCAAAGGGTTCTTCCATTTCAGCTTCAGTTTGACAAACCACTCCCTTCTCAGGTATCTCATCTCTCTCTCTCTCTCTCTCTCTCTCTATATATATATATATATATATGCAAGTGTAAAGTATATGATTACAAGTATATTGTATAGTCTGTGACACCCAGTTGTTTATTTTTCAATTAATCCATTTGTGAATTGACAAATTAAAATAGCAGAATGGAACCCAGAAAAGGAGTAAATCTCGCCATGGTTACTGAGGACTCTAAAATTCTTCCCTATCGTTTCAATTGGCAACGTTGGACTGTATCCCTAGGTGAACCCTTTCTCTCTCTTTCTCTCTCTCTCTCTATATATATATATGTGTGTGTGTGTGTGTGTGTGTGTGTGTGTGTGTGTGTGTGTGTGTGGTTATGTTTGTGTTGTCATTTTGCTTTTTAGACCAAGTAGAAATGTTTAATGTTAGAGAGAAATCAAATGTCAACAACTTTATGTTTTGTATGGAATGTAAGTGGTGTGCAATCAAGGAGTGTTGAGTTGAGATCAATAGATTTACACTTTGGGATGCTTGGTAGCTAGTTAGAATGTAGGGAACAGGGATAGGGTTCAAATGCCTGCTTTGGGAATGGGATTGTCGTAGTGTTGTGTTCGAGGTGGTATTGTGTGCAAGATGTTTGATGAAATGACAATAGGGCCATTTGGGATAACAAACAAATGTTGGGTGGCTTGCTTGTGAAGACAAGCAGGGGAGAGAATACTAGGGCAGAGCCGACACTCCAAAGATGGAAGGTATGGGGTGGGTTAGGAGGGTTTAAACTATTTAAATAATTATTTCAAAAGTGTTTTTTTGTTTTTTTGTTTTTTTGTTTTTTAACTTCTTATGGACTTGAAAGAATTATTATATATTTTATGTAGGAAAATGCATAATATCCTTGTGTTGGCGTCCCGAATATGATGAAGACCAAGAAGCATCAAGTTTCCACTTAAGGGCAAGATTTCTCATTTGAAACCCAATAGTAGCTTCTTTCAATCTTCCCATTGTAAGGAATAATACCATCTGCAATTTATTTCAACAGGTTGTTGACACCTGATATGTGTTTCTACTCCCATTGTGACAAAATCATTTTCAAACTTCCTCACTTTACCCTCTCAACCATCAAAAACTCTCATAGTAAATCTTTGTTAAAAAACAGGGCAATTATATGTAAACTTTGTAGGGGAAAGCAAGTGCTTATGTTAACATCTAAGGATCACCTTTGTGAAGGTAGTCAACTAAATGAGTCATAGACGAGGGCATGGAAGATCCATTTGCAATGCTATAGATATCCAGAATTTTCAACTCCACCATGGCTGTATTGGACCAATTTTTAAAGAGTTCACTTCTTTAATGAAAATTGAGATCAGTAGACAAATGATAGACATCTTGTTTGGTGTGTGGGTTACATGTGCATTAGAGAGAGACATAGAGCTGAAAAGTTTGAGAAGTTTTGTTTGGGGTAGCGTTGCAAATGAAGGTTAATTGATAGCTGACACAGATAACATACCAGAAAGAAAGTTCAGCTTACAGAATGAAGCTGCAAATATTATATTCTGAGTGCTAATCGCATCCTCCTAAGTCCAAAATATTGACAAAATGTTCTAAAGTCATTTTTTTTTTCTTGTTTAGAGAAGTGATGCTAGTTTATAATATGTGAGCCTTTTAAATGTTGCTAAAGCACAACCTTTAAGATGCATATTTTGGGTAATATAGATGATATTGATACCTTTTTTTGTTGACTCTTGTGCTTGTTTCTGTATGACTTTTGTCGTAGTGATGAAAGTTTTCCCTTTTGAACCTCAAGAATTTTAATGTATGTCTGATTCTTAGTTGCAGGAATCGTGGAACCAGGTGGCGATTCTGAGTAAGAATCGCGATTCCGCGCTTCCTAGAAAGAAACGCGTAAGAATCGCGTTTCTGTGGTGAGAGAAACGCGATCCAGTCCAAGATGGGATTGTAAGGGGGAGAGAGAGAGAGAGAGAGAGACCTGAATTCGCTGTCTTCTTCTCCTTCGACATCGATGTCGACCTTTGACATCGCCTGGACCTTCGATCTGCTCTCGCCTCGCAATCTGCTCGCGATCGCTCTCGCCTTCGATCTTCTCGACATCGCCTTCGCCATCGCCCTTCTTCTTCTTCGATCTGCTTCCTCTTCTCTCTCTCTCTCTCTCTCTCGTCGATTTA